AAAAAAGTGTCGAAGATCCGAGAAAAATGAAATTGGATGATAGATCGAATTTAATGGAAGCAATTCGTAATGCTGGTGGTATAGGAAGAGCGAAACTAAGACGTATAGTACCAGAAGAAAAAGGAAACCGTTGGTCCTCCGCATCTGTTGGAGGTGATTTAATGGCCGATTTGCATGCAAAATTAGCTCTCAGGAGAAAAGGAATTGCTGGATCTGGAGGTAGTGCTCTGGAAAGAATGTCCAGTATGATTCCTCCACCTCCTAAACCAAACGAAGCAGCTGCATCGGATAGAAATTCGGCTACTAGCGAATACGATTCTCAACCAGATACTGATGATTGGGACGAATAATAAATTACTCGATTATTGTTAATTATATATATATATATATGCAATTTTTTATTTAACTTTCAATTTTATGTTGAATAATATATTTTTATTATATTTAATATTTCATGTAAATTTCTTTCATTTATGTATAATAAAAATGAATTTATATAAAAATGAATTCATAACTTAAAAAACATTTATATAAGACGTTTTAAAATGCTCAAATTAAATCGTAAGATATTCAAATATAAAAATAAACTCAAAATGCAACATTTTTAAGTCGTGTTTTATCTGAATGGAAATTCTTGATAAGAATTCCTTCATTAAAATAAAGATCCTTTTGATTTTGTTTAAAAATTAAAAATAAATTCCAAAAGATTTTTACTGTTTTTCTAAAATTGAATCGTCATAATTGTCATCAATATTCAAAAATAAGATCATAACGGCAATGTATTTGTATGGTTATCGGTTTTGATTTAACACTTGACCCCAGATTACTGGACCAAGCATTTACATGGATTTATAAATGTTAGTTCTACTACAGGAATTTCTACTGCAGTTTTTGCTTGGTATTCGTAGTGTTTTTTTTCGTAAAAAAAAAAAAAAAGAAAAAAAATTTGTCGTTCCTTTATTAAGTCATTCATGTTTTAAACTATCGGTTAAGATGTCATATAACTTTGCAATCAATATTACCATTTATTCCCATAATTTCTTCTTTTATACAAATAAGTTTTATTTTATAAATATGTGATATGAATTATCATCTAAAATTTTTCAAAAAGTGTCATAGTTTGTTAAAATTCTTCGTATAAATATTCCTCGATAAATTGTTTAAATATTTTAATTTAATCTATGTGCATCGAAACAGTTTAATCAGAAATAAATGAAAAACATTCGTAATAAAGCATATAGAAGAATATTTTGTTACTCGAAAATACAAAATACAAAATATTCGAAATGTTCGAAAATTATGGATAATTTGTTGAATTGATTATGTTTTAAAAATTAAAAAAAAACAAGTAAACATAAAAAATAAAATAGAAAAAAAAAAGTGATAATTAATCGAAGAATTGAAAATTAGAAAATTTAAAAGTATAATAAAATTCTTTTTTGTGATGTTCAATTATTCAATTGTTCAATATATGGTTAAAAAGCAAACAATTATCTCTATTTTTATTTAAATATCAATTAGAAATTAGAATTTGGAAGAATTTGATAAATTAATGGAAATCTAAATTGCACAAAAGATGAAGAGTGATTCATAATTAAAGTACAAATGATTGATATGCTATTTTATGATAATTAGCAAATTTTCAAATAAGGTGAGTTGACTAGAATTATCCATATCGATATCAAACTGTAATGGAAAATTTAGCAACAAAGAAAAAAATGAATTTATAGAAATTATATTCGTTATGAAATTACAAATAAAATGATATATTTCTATTTAATCTACATACGTATAGATTACTGAAAAAATTAATGATCAACACGCTTTTCACACGTGACAAATAAAATGTTACAAACAATTTATTTGTGATATTACAATGTATCATTTACACCATATCTTTTCAAGAAAGAATCAAATTTTCAAGAATCTAATAAAATTGTAATTAAGCATTAAAATTAAAGATAAGAATACCAGAGATATGAAATCTCTCTTAAAAACTTTTGATTTAGCTATTTCTTTTTCACTCGAAACTTAAATAAATAATATTTCCGTTTAATTATATTCAATGAATAATCTAATTTTCTAAAAAAAAAAGTTACAATTTTTGTTTTTGGACAAGATAAATATTTCCGACATTCGAGAATTTAAAATAAATAATATTTTGAATTCGAATTTTAAAAATTAATTTGAAAATTGCTATTTTAATTAAAATATATTGAAATACTATATACAGATTTTTTGACATAATTCACAAAAATATAAATTTTTTCGTTCTTTTTACATAAAGAATTGCGATCTAACATATAATTAATATATATGAAGTAATATATATTTCGATGATAATTTATCTAAATACAATTTTATTTATATTTGATTCAATTTGTTGAACAGAATTTTTAAAAATTTGACATTATGGGAAGCAGCATAAAAATAATCACTACCACGGAATTAAACAATTCGCGGGTTAATAATTCGAATTATACAGAACTATTACCGATTGATATGCGATTCAACGAAGGTCATATTATTAGTATTGTATTTTACAGTGTGTTAATGATAATATCCGCCATCGGGAATACGACGGTGTTAATATTAATTACATGTCGTAAACGTGTATCGAAATCGAGGATACACATTATGTTAATGCACCTTGCGATCGCTGATCTACTTGTGAGTATCACTCAATATAAATTTTCTTCAACGTTAAACAAAAATAGAGGTGTGCATGTATTCAAACTTTGGATGAGATACTGATCAGACAAAATCGAGCGCTGAAAATGTAATAATATTACTATAATAAAAGTACATTGATGAATCAGAAATCTGAAAAATTTTTAAAATTCAATGTATCCATTCGAATCTTAAATTAATATTATAGAATATATGATAAAATAATTAAAAAAATTAATTGTTTAAAACTCGAAATGAAAGATCATGAAAGAACATTGTATTTATATTATATATATATAAATTTTTTTCAGATTTATGAGCATTTATCATGAAATTTATGATCAACCCAATTTAAGATTTAAATATTAAAAAATTGTGAAGGATAGATCAGTGCTTCATCCAACTTGGGGCACGGTTATTCATAATTTAATACCTTTTGTTATAAGAAAAAAATAAAAAAAAGAAAACGATTTTCAGGTTACTTTTTTAATGATGCCATTGGAGATTGGTTGGGCGATCACTGTTTCCTGGAAAGCAGGGGACGTGATGTGCCGAATAATGGCTTTCTTTAGAATATTTGGTCTGTATTTATCATCTTTTGTTCTGGTATGCATAAGTATGGATAGGTCAGTATATCGTAAGAGTTAAATTTACAATAATTGTTTATTATGAAAAATTAATTAATTACAATTGATTTTATAAATATATAATCACATTGAATATTCGGTATATTTTATGAAAAATTATATATTAGTAAAAAAAAAAAAAACTTGATATCAATTTTGATATCTATTTATTATTTCATTTTATAAATAATCCAGTTTGTTTAAAAAAAAAAAATAGAATATGATGAAAAATCATATATTAAAAAAATTTATGAAATAATATTTAGGAAGTCATATATTTTGGAATTAATTATAATATAATTATAAAAAAAAAAGCTTTTAAATGTTGTATTGATATTTAACTTTTTGCGATTTTTCTTTTAACGATTATCTTTTACTCTATTAATATTATATTTAATAAATGTATGCTATTAATACTAGCGTTATTTATTTTAATTATTTCACTTTAGATATTATGCAGTAATAAAACCACTTCAATTGTGGGATGTTGATAAAAGAGGTAAAATTATGCTATCCTTTGCTTGGATAGGATCTATTGTGTGTTCGTTACCTCAGGTATAATAATTAATTAAATAATTAATTCAGATAAAGAATTTTATATCTTTATTTTTGTTTTATATATATATTTTTTTTTGCATGATTTAATGTTTATTTTGAATGCAATCAATTTTGAAATAGAAAATTTCCTAAGGATATAAAAGATCTTTTCTAATATAATATTAATATAAATATTTATTAATTGTTATTGATTACAAATTTAACTTTTCTTATTACATATTTTTTTTTTTAGACGATTGTATTTCATCTAGAAACTCATCCAAATATCACATGGTATTCACAGTGTGTCACGTTTAATGCTTTTCCAACATATACTCATGAAATAACTTATTCTCTCTTTGGAATGATTATGATGTATTGGTTTCCTCTGGTGGTAATAATATATACTTATACGAGTATTTTATTGGAAATACGTAGAAGGTCAAAAAAAAGCGAAGATGGTACGAAAAAATTTATATTAAAGAAATCTTTTAGAAACAAAATTTTTTCTTTATTTATATTTTTTTCAAAAATAATAAATAAATATTAAAAAAATTAAGAATAATCTAAATAATGATATTGTACGAGTTTTTAAAATATTTTTTCAAAATTATTTTTTTTAAATTTATATATTTTTTAATATTTTTTTGTTTACTCAATATTTGAAACTCAATATTAAAAAATAATAATAATAAAATAAAAATAAAATAATTGTAAAAATAATAAAA